CTAAAATAACATAGTATGGTATTAAGTAGATTTCCTGGGCAAAACTACCTTCTCTATCAAAGTAGTACATACAATTCCACCATTAAAACTAAACAAATAGACTGATTAGTTTTACTCATACAACCTAATATGTGAAAGACACTGAGGAACCCCTCCAGAAAAGTACTATAACCTTCATCAACATACACCTTAACAAAGCTTTGCTTATACAAAACTGTGAATGAAACCCTACAAAGAAGATACGTGATTGGGTAGTGGTGGAAAGGTAAAGGATGCTTTCAGAAGAAAGGAACTATAAGCATATCAGGCTTTACCTACCTTGTGATTGACTCTACCAGCATTGCCCCCAGAGGCATGATCACTTTCCACCTACTTCACAAAGATAGAGCAGAATAAAGGAGAAAGTCTTATTTTAATGGCAGAATTAAACTTCTTTCAATGACCAGAAATATGGTACCTGGGATCTAGATGGTAACTCTGGTCTCTATCGGATAAGTGCACAACAGCCTGCAGCTGTTAAGCTGCTCCAGGTACTCTCTGGCAAATGGGACGAAAGCAGAGATCTGGCTACACATAGTTGCTGAAGACCTCATCCGTGGCTTTTCTCCCACTGTTTGGGATATTAACCACAGCCCATTGGCCAAATTCCAGTCTGGATAATTACACTGGCACTAGCAAACTTCACCTTCAAGCTCCAACTAAATAAAGTTTTCCTTTGGATTAGCTGCCATACCTTTGCTCTGCTGCTGTGGGCTATTAAAGAGCTATTCTGTACTGAGGATAGCTGTATTTGTGAAAAATCAATACCCAAGGTATAACTTTCTACACTGACCAGAAGTATATTCCTAAACACCACTGGCTAAGTTATTTTTATTTTTTTATACAGTGCTGAAGATAATTAGAAAACTACAGTAGTTTGTTCTCTATTTTCCTGACTTTATTCATATAGATACAGATTGAAATATTTGCGACATTACATAAAGAAGGGCAGGTGCATCGTCCACAAAATATGTACTATGTCTACCACATGCCAGGTTCTTTTGTAGGTACTGGGAACTGGGGTGAGGGCCATGGGTAATGTTCTCAACATTAATTTGAAAATTTTCCAAAAGGAGTAACTGAATTTAACTCCTCTAATGTTACTGCATTTCTGAAAATCTGAATATATCAACTTTACTATAACAAGACTCCCAATCAAATACTATCCTGGCTTACTCTTTGAATAGAAAAATTTAGAAAAAACATCCACAGGACCTTAAATTCAACATGTATGTGCATGTATGTATGGAAGTATATGTGTCTAAAAAGAAGAAAATATACTTTCTTGGCTAGCTTGGAGGGTAACAAATAGGATGCTGCTTAGATATATATTTATTTGTTTGCTTGTTTTTAGCAATCATCTTATTTTTGTGGGTGAGAGTATAATAGCAGAAGAGGACATAAGGAAATTGAAAACATAAATACCTCATTTAAAATTTTTCCTTACTGTGTGAAAAAAAAAAACCCACAAACCAGATCCTTTGTTGCTCTATCATAAGGATGAAAACAACAAAAAGGAAAAGATGGAAGCATTGTGTCTGCACGTACACATACACACACATTATCTTGTACATGAAAATAGGAGAGGGAAGTTAACTAAATTTCAAGATTCCAGATGATTAAATTAAGCATACGTACTATAGAATATTTAACATAACACTATACAAACAAAAATCGTTCAGAAATTTTAAAAAATAGATCAGATTAATCCTAAAGAATCCACACAAGTACTTGTCTTGGACAAACTATAACCAGATTGTGGGAAATGGTTTTATGGTGAAGTTCGCTTGAAATCTGCCAAATTATTATTCTGCTTGAAAATTCTCATAGTTACAAGAAGTTAAGAGCAGCCTTCTAAAACTAGGTTAAACATCCTGTAAATCAATTTATTCCCACCTATAAAGCTGCTAAGGTGCATGCTTTTCTGGTGAAAATGGCTCTTCTGTGGTACTTAATCTACTATCGCTGTGTTGTTTTGCCAACTAGTCCACTCCAAGTTTTTCTACTGAAGGGGTTGTATTAAACTTAAATGCCTATTTTTTCATAATAAAAGATGGAATACAGATTATTTAAAATAGCATAAGGAACCTCAAAACATATCACACATGCAATACATTTCCCAAATTTAGAAGAAATCTTTAACAAAGCAAGTATGATCCACGTTTGCCACCCAATATCTATTCATTACTATTTTAGAGTTAAGAACACAGCCTGCACCATTACCATCTCTCACAGATAGATGGCCTGTCCTCCACAAACAAGCTCCAGGTAATACCCTTGGCAAGATGGCTTTGATAAAAGACTGAAAGGAATATTACACAGACACACAGTCTGTCCCATCTACATAAAGAGCCCAGATCACTACACCAACAACATGTCTATCACGTTGCAGACAGAAGATCAGAATGAGTGACTAATTAGCTATAATGTGAAAACTCTTTCAGGTATACATGATGACCAACACAATCTTCAATCTCATCCTTGTTTAAAATGCATATAGAGAATAACAGATCACTGAAGACTCTCCAAAGATGTAAACAATTACCAATGCAGGGGACTGAACTTCCCCAGTTTGGGAAAAGGTGGGAGGCATAGAATTTTCAGAGATTGGAGGCAGAATACACAGTATAAATGCATCGTAAAGCCATAATCTAGCCTAGTCTCAATACTGAAATTTTACTCCAATTATTGTACCTTCTCAATATCTATATTAGGGTAAAACTCTTGGTTATAAATTGTATGTAACTAAATTAAAAAGAAAGAATAATTCAGAGGATGGAATAGGAAATTTGTTAAGTGTGACCCAAGAAAAGACATCCTGGAAATGGTTCTAGGGTCATGTCACAGCACCTCACTCACTCAGTGTCCCTTAAAAGTAATGGATTAAGGCACATCATCAGTCTCTAACTCTCTCCTCACAGTAAAATCCAGTCATCTATTTAGGCATCAGAGAGAACTCAAGTTTTAGTACAATCCTAAGAGTACCTGACCACAGCAGAAAAATGTGCTTACGGTGTCTAATGACTATAAAGGGAAGAACGAGAAGCGTCTAAACAGTCCTTCCAATATTGCATTTTTCAGTTTATACTAGGCTTAAGAGGGCAATTGAAATTAGATGCTTCATTTCATCCTACAGTAACTATATAATTCTTATTACAGTAAAATTTTTAAATGTTCTCTTTAAAAACATCCCCCAAAAGAGACAGCTTCACCTTACTCATATGAAACCTAGCAGACCCACCTCATTTAGAGGCTGCAATGCTTTAGCTACAAACAGTATGAGTATCAGGATGTGGAAGCAGCTGTCACTGATTTGTTTTTCATTCACAGTAGGTGGTTGCCAAGCAACAAAACACTATTGTCTGTTTCTATGATCTATTGGCCTATTCTACTGGTGATAATGCTTTCTACAGTTTAAAACAGGGCCACCTTTTGGACAAGAAAATAATATTCTAAGACTGACAATAACATATATATAAATGTACTGAATGCATCCCAAAATTATACATATAAATATATAACTGTGTACTGATATACATATATATATATATACAGTATATATAAATAATGTATGTGTGACTATATACCTTATTTTCCTTCCTACCTAAAAACTCATCTGGATTTGATAGGCCAAAAACTAGAATCTTTAAATTCCTGAGGACAAATCAATGCATGACCTAGAAATATTAAAACATAGAATTATTTTCTCAACAATAGCAATAATTTTCAATTTTCCAGATGTATCAATTTCTGCCCCTTGAATACAAAGTCCTCCAGTCAGAAAAGCAATTCTGTCTACTTATATAAAATAATAATAAATGGAAAGCCTCTACTATCTATTTCGGAATTATCTAACATGTTTAATATGTTATTTTACTTAATATCATGTGCTACCACTGTGTACAAAGATAGTAATTCAAATGGAAAAATTCTGTTACTTAAAATACCAAGAACCTTAAGATGCATTTTTAAAATAATTGAATTGTTCTCCCTGGAATAGCCTTATGTGATTCCCCACTTTGTTTCGATATGGGTCCCTGGGGAATAACAGTCATGCTGTTACTCTTGGATATTTCACTAGCTTACAAAATAAAATAATGCACAGTGTACTTAATATAAAGTTGTCAACATTAACTTGAATAAGTTGCTGTTTGTTTTGCATTGACATAGCTTCTAAAGATAAGAATTACAATATTCTTAGATGTACAGACACAACAGCAAAACAGCCTGAAGGAATTAAAGCTTGAAATTGCTAGAGGCAGTCATGCTTTGAGATGAAGATAAATCAGTATCATTAGGCATACATATATATTTCTGCAAAGGCCCTAAATAATGCCAGAACAATCTTTGGATTTTATGCAATGCTTATCCATCTTCCTTCACAATTTATCAAATGCACTTTTAACTATTTAATGTATCTGTGTAAAGACTTTGAATTTCACTTTTTGAAACTCAGTAATGAGTAATCCCTCCGCTATTACAAGAAAGTGGAATAAGCAAAATCCAGTACATGGATTGACATTATTAGTAAAAAGTTTATCAAAAGGGCAACACTAGCAAAACAGAAACAAAGTGTGTTAATAATGAACTAAATATGAGCCAAAATTACCACTTTCTGGAACAGAGCCATCTTCAGCAGAACGCATCCACCTCTCGGGAGCGCCCATCCGAGTTTCTCCTTCACATCTCACCCCACAAATAACCTACTTCCTTCTGCTTTGGCGTCCCAAGCTCGCTCAGCCGAGTCTCTCCTCCAAGAAACAATCTCCTTCCCACTTTCTCCACCCTCATCAGATCCCTTAGGCACCCTTACTTTCTCTAAACTACTGAATCCAGAACTGCAGCCCAGTTTGCTAGGAACCTCCCCACACGCACGTTTCCCCTGTTCTATATCTGCTTTGTAAATCGCTGCCACCGAACAAATAAAATATTAATAAAAGTAGGGTTACAAACCGTTTTTTTTTTAATGTTATAGCAGTAAAACGTCGAGACGGAGATGAAAAGTAGGAGTGTATTTAAAGGAAATGGGTGGTGAGTAGCCACAGACAGTAGAACGCCGGGGTCAGACCCACCATGGCTTTCCCACCTGTCGACCCCACTTTCCCCCATGTGCTTGTCGCGGGATGACAACCACAGCACTCGAGAACCACCCCCTCCGGAAAGGAGGCGGGGTTACTCCTTCAGCCAATCAGGGCCCGCGAGCCCTGGGTGTCCAACCTATGGGGTGGCCGTGGCCGTGCAGGGGGAGGACATGGGATAGCGGGGAGGGGCCGCGTCTTTAGGAGGCGCGCACGTGTCCAGTCCGGAGAGGCGGCAGGCGTCCAGGTACCGAGGCGCGGGCTCTGCACCCTGGCAGCCGCCTAGTCCAGCTGCCCAGTGCCTCTTTTGCCTCGGACTCTGCTGGGCAAGACGTGCTGCCGCCAAGGAAGGAAGACCCGTCCAAGGTGTCTGAGTTCCCAGGGTAAGGGGACAGTCACAAATAACAATACTACCTAGCGCAACCCAGGCAGCAGGGAAAGTTTCCGGCCCGTACTAGGAGCAGAGTCGGCCAAGGCAGGGAGGACAAGGGACGGGCGGCGGGAGGGTGCAACCTGGCAGAAAGAGACCAGCGGGAGGGCTGCCGCCGGCGGGACGCCGTGCCGGGGGCGGTGCAGGGGGCTGCGGCGGCGGGGTGCGCTGTCCAAGGTGTAGGGGAGGTGGGAGGAGCGCGGCGGGCGCGGAGCCCGGAGCCTTAACACCGGCTGGCGGCGGCGGAGAGAGCGGGTAACAGCTGTTCGGAGTGCCGGGCTCGCAAAAGTGACAAGACTGGAGGTGGGGTAGAGCGCGGAAGGGCGCAGGGCTGCGCGGAAGCCCCCCACGCTTCCACGCACCCCTCCCCACCAGCCTCACCTCTAGCCTCATTCCCCTCCCCCCGCAGCCCACTCCCCTCCGAGCCTCTGTGCCCGAGCGGGGTCGGAGGCGGGACCAGGGAACCCCGGCTCCAAGCCTAGACGCCCCAGGGATGCCGAGGGCACCGGAGCTGCTTACCTGGGGCGGCGATACGGAGAGCAGAGGTAGCCCGCCGCGCGGAGCCCGATGCTGGGCGCGGCGTGGCTCCTCCTCGCCTCGGCGTCCCCCTCCTCCGCTTCTCCCGGACTCCGTCCCGGGCACGGAGCTGCAAGACGGGGCCGGACTGCAGCTGCCGTTCTCTTCGCTGCCTCCTCCGCCGCCGCCGCCGCTGCCGCAGACAGAGGACGCCCCGTGGCGACTGGAAGCCGGTGCGAGTAAGGGCGCCCCAGCGAGTGGGATCTGCTAAGGGGCGCTGGAGACTCCGCGGCTCGGGGCGCGCGGGCGTGCGCACGCGCGCCTGAGAGTGTGAGTGTGTGTGTGCGCGCGCGCGCGCGCGCCCACGAGGAAAGGGAGTTGCGAGGGGAGGGGGAGAGGGTCCGAGAGATGCTCGTAGGGACCGAGGCAAAATTCTTGACCCCAGGAAATCCGTAAACTCGGGTAAGGAAGATCGAACACGCGTCTTGCGTCGGAGAGCTGCCCGCCAGGGAGAGGCAGAAGAGGCGGGGAGAGCAGTGCGGCGCGCGCGGTCTCCGGATTCGAGCTGGGCTCAGGCCTGCCAAGCGCACAGCCGCGGATGCAGCAGAGGCTCCGCCCGCAACCCGTGGTAGCGCTGCTCCCTCTAGGGAGGGGCAGAGCTGCCCGCTCCAACCACCGTCGCTGCTGTCCAGACTTCTGGGCTGGCCGCCGAGGGACAGAAATCCGGACCCCTCAGTTGCCACTGCAGTCTTGGAGGCTCCGGCCCGCTGAGCGGCCGAGCGGAGGACTCGGGCACACGTGGCCGACTACCGACTGGAGCAGGCGTGTGCAAAGGCTGCGGGCGTGGAGTGGGCGGTGGAACCCCGCCGAGCGCGGCCCACCGGCTCGACTGGGTGGGGATGCGCGGCCAGGGAGCGAGGGTGAGGTCCGTCGAAGGTGAGGTCAGCACGCACCGTTGGGGGAAAGGAGAGGCGCTTCTCAGCCCAGGTGGAATGTTGCCTTTTTTCCTCTTTGGAGGTCACTTTTCCTCAAAGTTAATCCACTTCCCAGGTAGAAGTGCCGGCCTCTTTGTTTGGATTCAGCTAACTGTGCAGGCATCATCCAAGTAGTACATCTTTGAAGCCAGGCTCCTCCAAGAATCCCATACTGCCAGCCTGGCGCCGCTCTTGGCCTGTTTAACCCCAAGCTCCATCACTCATCCAAGTTACATTGTGTATCTTAGAAATACAATTATAAAGCACATTTACCCGCCCTCTAGTCTAAGAGATATGTCATTCTAACAGTATTCTTTTCTGTGCTCATTTAAATTCTGAGAGCAATTTTATTTACCCAAGTGTTTCTTGAAGGGTCGTAAGTCTGGGTGGATACCTGCAATACCTTGCTGGCAGGAAATCTCGGGGCAGGGACTATGTTTTGCATACATTTTGCATGCCCTCCAGTACTTAGAACACAGTACCATGTACGCGGTGTGTTCCCTACAAATGTTGAATGAACCACATTGTTTGCTGGCTTCACATAACCTGAAAGCAAAGCTTGGTTGCTGGGAAAGTCATTACCACCCCATCAGGCTTACTTGATTTTAACTTAGGCCATTTTCCTATGTATGGCTATTTTTCCCAATGGCCGCCAGAGCTTTAGTGCAAAAAAAAAAGACAACAGTGAGTGTACTGACTGACTGTGCAACCTTACCGAAGGGTGCAAGCAGAAAGCCCTCTGCAGGGAACCCAGGGAGGTACCCTGGGTGTGATAAGGCTAAAAAAAAATTTTTTTTCAGTCTTGGGGTAATCTAACTTCTCAAAACATGCAAGTCACTGTTCATTAGCAGTTTATAATGTCCCTTGTATGGCGGAAGAACAGGAAAAGAGTTTCAACTAGCTTGTCAGGTACAGGCTCTTCTCTTGTCAAGAGAAACATATTGGACACCCGCCCATATATGTGGGGACACCCTAGAACTGCTAGTTCTGCTGTAGAACCAAGCCCACAGACTTCAACCTTGGTATTTCTACAATCATCCTCTTGGCAGCAAAAGTCTTCAATTTTACATTCCATGCTAAATTTCATTTCCTTTGAACTCACACTCTTCTATGAGCTGCTTCTGTCTGCATTCATGATATCACAGCTTTGAAATATAACGGAAATAAAGTGAAAATTAAAATGGATTTATTTGGGTTCTGCTGTGTGTCCTCTTTAGGGGTCCTTTTAAATGATTTCTCTCCTGTCACTCAATTTACAATCTTTTTAGTAGCCATTTGTTGTGATATGGAATTCATGTGCTTTTCTGTTAAGTTGGAAGCTTAGATATTCAAATTTTTTATACTTGAAAGGAACCTCTAGAACTTAAAGGAGGAGCAGAAAAACTCTTGATACCCAAAATGGACTCTTGACAGCCAAACTTTAATATGGGTATGAGTTAAAATCTTATAAAATAATTATAAAGCTTTGTTTTCCTTAGAAAATTGCCTTTAGGGTTTCAACAGCTTCCCAAGTGTTTGTCTTACTTGGGGGATGAAAAAATGTAACAAAACCTTAACTCCTCTGATGACCACCAAAGGGGGCAGTCTTGTCTTTGTAAAAATAAATAAATACATTTATAAGATGCCAGCATTTAAAAATAAACATAGGCTTACAGCAATCTTAATTTGTGATAATTTAAGAGATAAACAATACAATGAAAGAATAACAGCATAAGATATATAGTGTTTTCTGACCCACTTAAAGATAAAAATTGGGAGGAACAGCAAAGCTTAAAATGGTATAAACCATAGCTACTCATGCTACTTAAATATGAAATAATACTAAAAGGTACTGCTGAGAGATTCACTTTCATCTGTTGTTAGCAGCTGGACTAAGAATCAAAAGCATAATTATTAAAGTCCTATTTTTCTTCCCCAAAATGAAATGTTCCTTAACATAACTCCTCTTTTCAATTTTTAGCAGTGGAATAAATGAGTCAAACATTAACATCCTTAAAAACACAGTTTTGGGAAAGGGTGGGATGTGTAGAGAAACACTGTAAATTGATTGGACCACAACTAACTAATCTAGTTTGTCAGTCTAAAAAACAAAAGCTTCCTACCTCTGAAGATTGGTGAATTTAGGCTGTTAAGATGTACCCTGAATTCCAGAGTCAGCTCATGCTGGGAGCAGATTGCCCCAAATTCTTTGAAGTGAAAGGCAGGGACCGTTAGCTGAAATGCTGCTGTTGATTTTAGTGGTTGTGACCACACATAAGGATACACGTAATTTCCCCCATAATTAGGTCCCAGATCACTTAGTTCATTAGAGTTTCAAATGATAAAAAACACCTTCACCTGCACCTGGATACAAAGTGCCCACTCAGTACAGAGTGTAGCATGGAACAGAAGTCCCAGGTTATCCTCTTTGTATTCATGCTTTATACATTGGTTTATTCCAGATGTTACATAGGACAACTTAGCTGTGACTGAAGATCATGCATCTTTAGGAAAGTCAAAAATCAAAGAAAAATGGTTATAGAGCCTACAATCTACTCATCATTATTCTTGGGAACAAAAATTGAACATAAACATAATTTATTACTTGACCAGGTACAACAAACTTCAATTTGAATTACCAATAACCACTTAATAAAGGTATTTGTTAAATAGACTATTTGGTTAAAAATTCATTATTAGTGGCCAATGTTTATATGCATAGTTTCATGTTCATAATTCCTAGTAATAATCACTTAGATTATTACTTGATATATAAAAAGCTAGTCTATAGCTGTATTTTGAATTTTAGATTAGGGATAAGAAGAAAATTGCAAGAAGAAAATGGACTGTTGGCAATGCAGCTATGGATTTACCTATCACTGGGGAATCCCTGAGCAGAGTGGAATCGATTAGAATATGCTAGACTTGATATTTCAATGGATCAAGGGCCACCCATGTATTCTGAAATTTCCATATCTACAGAAACCCAGCAATTTAATCTGATATAATTTTAATATATTTATTTTATAAATAATAAAATTATTTGTATTTTAATTTTTTGCCTTTTCAGTTTCTTTTCACTTACTAATATAATTATTTTTTGTTAATACAACTTCTTAAACTACAACTCCTTCACTCAACCTATGGTGAAGTTATAGAGTAGAAAAGCAATAATCCCAGGAAACAAGAAGTTTTCAGTGTTTAAAGGCAATGTTACCATGACCTTCCCTCCCACAAAGAGGGTGGCATGGAAAAAGCTGGTAACAAAATTCCAGCTGTGAAAACCCAACATCCATATATTGAACAAGGCCTTCATGTAGGAAAACCAGTCACCTCTTTTTACTTCTCAGTAATCTTAGTGTCTTAGCACTGGGCACCAAGTCACAAGATCTGAGTTCAGCCCTAGCCTGGCCAGCAACTTGCTATGAGGCCTCAGACAACTTTCTGAGCTTGAGTTGGCCCTCCTGTGCAATGTGGATAGTAACATTCACCTCACTGATTAATAAGATTACATGAAATAAAGTGAGAAAGGGTCCCTCATTTGCAGGAGCTAAGTAACTCTTTACACAGTCTCGTATCTAAATAAAAATGGTGTGGCAGAAAACTGGAACATGTACCTGAATGGGAAGCTCCTGCAGGAACTCTGGAAGCCTTTGTTAGATCATAACTTAATGTTGAATTGACTTGATGATTTCTGGGAGTCCCTTCCAAGGATATTTTAAGAAAACCACAATCAACTAAAAGTTGGCAGAAACAGACACGTGCAGGAAATCATGGGTTCCATAATTCTAGAGGTGATGTAATTCTATAAATTGCTGCTGCTGTTGCAAGACACAAGCTTTTGTGTTCATTTGTTCTTAATTAGTCTCTCTCTTTTTTTCTGTCATACAGATTCTGCTTCCCCGGTGGTGCTTTGCCCTGATAATTTAGCTATGCAAACATTGATTTTACAGATTAATACCAACTATGAAATTCCTTTTTTTAAAAACAAAAATAGTTCACTGTTTTCTCCCCCTTAATTGTAAAAGTAGTGTGTGTACTCCTTGGGGAAAAATAAGCAATACAGAAATGTATATAAAAGAAAAAAATTGCTGTAACATCACCTCAGGGACCAAAAACCATTATGATTTTGGTGTATACCCTTCCAATATTTTCTTAGCATAGCTTTATTCTTTTAAAATGTTGTTCAAGTCAAAATTCAGCCATTAAATGCATGCTGGCATTTTAGCAAAAAACAGTTAAACACTTTCACAAAAGGGTACAAAAATTTTCTTTCCACTTTCATACTCTTTTTTTCCCACGATGGGCTTTTTGCCTACCAAATCCTTTAACCAGGATCTTAATCCTTGAAACCTTCCCTTTATTATTTCCCCACTTTCACCACTTCTAACAGTGAGTACTTTGTAATGACCTTTTAAAAACTTAATCTCACCTTCAGTTGACATATTCTGGAGTCACAAGCCCTGCTCCTTGGCCTCTGGCCATTCTGGAATGCTTTGCATTACTTAACCTCCACCCCCAAGATCAAGTCCAGCTCTGACCTTGGATCTGGTACTACAATCCCTGATGGAACAGAAACGATTCTTGATTTCAATAAGTAACC